TCCAGATAATATATATATATATATATATATATATATATATACATATATATATATATATATTAAGCCTATATATATTATATGCAACTATTTGTTTCCAGCCGATTGTGTAATAGAGTGTATTTGGGGGTAATTTGATTCTGTTCAACCATAAAGCCTTTGAGGTCTAATGGTTATGACGTTCGCCTTGACAGCGAGAAGTCGCAAGTTCGAATCACGTCAGTGCAAATTTTATTACGCAGTTTCTTCATTAATTTATTTATAGGACAATATTCGTTGAGATGCTACATGATGTACTATCATATCCTTTATTCGAACACTGTTTTTACCTATCTTTGATTATGATATATAATATATGTATTTATATATATACATATATATATATAAAATATAAGATGCTACATGATGTACTATCATATCCTTTATTAGAACACTGTTTTTTCCTTTCTTTGATTTTGATATATAATATATATTTATATATACACATATAATATACATACATATATATCATCAAAGAAAGGTATAGGCTGTTAACACTATTAAATTATATATAAATCAACAGAAAAAAGGAAAAATACAGTGTTGGAATAAATAATATGAAGTTACATCGTATAGCGTAGCTCTCAACGAATGTTGTCCTATATAAATAAACATATATAGTAGCATATAATATAAATCAAGATCCATATTTTGACATTAATTATGTCATCATCAAGATGATGACATAATTAAATGTCGAAATATTGAATCCCAACACGATGGTGTGTATTTCAATACTGTACTTAGATTATGTATTATACTTTCTTATTTGAGATTAATCAGTGGACCTCTAGGTCTAGGTTAGTATTATGTCGCATTTGTAGTGAAAACAAATATATGAATGAATGAAAGCAAACACTATTACTAAAGTGTTTAAGCCTCCACGTGAATGTGTTAACTTATCATTTATATTAGCGTCACCATGTTCGCCGAACCCATGTGCCAATGGAGAAGTATGTAGTCCCAATATTCTTACCGCTGATCCATGTGACTACACATGCGAGTGTCTATCATGCTATACAGGCCCTACGTGCAGCACCCGTAAGTAATATTTTAGTAAATTTTGTATAAACGCATAGGCCTGATTTACATCCAAATAATGTGAATATAATAATAATAATAATAATAATAATAATAATATTAATAATAATAATAATAATAATAATAATAATAATAATAATAATAATAATAATAATAATAATAATAATAATAATAATAATAATAATAATAATAATAATAATAATAATAATAATATTACTTAAGTCTTATATAGCGCATAACACAGTAAATTGCCTCTGTGTGTTTTACATGAGCAAAAAGAAAAGTAGCCTTGAAATATCCTAATGCTACAAGGAAAGCAAACAAAGTAGATGGCATGGCAAGTAAGCAGTAAATTATTTTCACTGCTACGTTCTCCAGCACTTTGAAGTTGTAATGTTAAAGGCTCGTTGGAACCGTCTCACAGGAGCTCTAGTGACAATGATGGTCTATCCAATAATAATAATAAAAATAAAAAAACAATGCGATGAGCGTAAGATTGTAAGAACGCTAAGCAGAAGTTGATTTGAAAATATGTTTTTTAAGGGACTTTATAAATATTTATTTCATTCGAAGGTATATTTTTTATGTCCTCCGGAAGGTTATTCCATAAAGAAGCTGATCAAAACAGGAATGATCGATTGTCGTAGTTAACGGTTTTGTATTTAGGAATATTGAGTTTATATAACATGAATAGTAATGGTGATACATCGACCACCGATCAATGTGGCTTAACTTGTGAACATACATCATGTTTCACTTAGGTTTTGCATGCAGTAGGCCTACACCTACAGTAAGTAATGCTTTGTAGTGGAAACTGTTTCAACGCCAGACTGCATCGTGCTACATTATACAAATGCAACAATTGTAATGAATTTAATTTGTCTTGTTTTACCATTCAATTTTTATAATTTTTTTAATGTTTCATATTAGACCATTTTAATTTTTATGCTAATAATTTTGTGTTTTTGAGCGCAATTGGTAGAATATTTTTATGAGTTGAAATTTTGACTTTTCCATTCAACGAGGCGGAGCCGAGTTGAATGAAACAGCCAATCTTTCAACGAATAAGAATATTCTTTCCATTGCGCAAATAAAATAAAATATTCATTATGGTTTTCAACATTGATGTTATTAAAACTCTAGATATTTAAATAGTGTGACTATCAATATTTTAACACTATCAGTGAAAGTGCCTTTGTATATGGACCTAATTATATACTACCCACCACTTCGACGAGTTCGGTCAATTTAAGTAAATAATTGGTATACGGCATGCTATTATCTGGTTTATTCAACTTTTAATCGATTTTTGCATATTTTAGCGTTGCCATGTTCACCAGATCCATGCCTCAGTGGCATATGTAGTGCTGATACATCTACACCCGAGCCATGTGACTACATTTGTAGTAATTGTGGGGAATGCTACATAGGTACTTCTTGCAGTATCCGTAAGTAATATTTATTGGGTTTTATAGTTTAATAAATAATTATATTCATTGATTTTTAAAAATTTGCTTTTTAACCTGGCTTACAATTGTATTTTGAAATGAATTGCAATATTTTGATATTACTGTTTGATATATATTTTAAATTTTTATAATGCTGTCCACACTATCAATTTTTTTGAGACAAATTATGGTATGTGCCATATATGGTCATGATGATGTCACAATCATTATAATATTATTATAAATTTAGAAATACCTAATTCCAAGGATATCTAAGTACAAAGAAGAAGAAGAAAAAACAAACGCAAACGAAAAAATAATAATAATAATAATAATAATAAGAGTGCAGTATTAGAAAAAGAGAAATCGTTATCAATGAACCCACAAGTTAGGAATGATACAAAAACAAAAATCTCCGTATGCCTTCTTTAAAAATACGTCTGAAGAAGTCATAACAAAAAAAAATGGTCACCGTATGTGTATACTTGACCAAAGGTAATGGAGTTGATTTGACTTTTCAATATTTTTTGTGTGAATCTGTAAAACCTTTTATATTTCAATTTGCTCTATTTATCTATTGTAACTTTTTTTTATGTGTTGTTTTTAAATTTGTTTTGTGGTTTTGTACACTGTGTATGCATGAACAATGTAATTTCCTTTTTTGGATGAATAAAAAATAGTTTGACTTTGAGTTCACTTTGATAGAAACAAGACAATTCTTTGCAATTTGGAGCAATATTACATGTCACATTTAAAAGTGTGAACAGTGTTTAATGCATAATTCCAAACAGGTGTAATAAAAGCCGTCTTCGTAGCAGTTAAGAAACCTTTGCTTGGGGAAACTCAAATTGATTTCTTCCGGTAGGAAGAAATGTCATAAAAGATACTGATTTAGAATCTAGGTCACTTTTATTTGCTAGTAAAATTTGTTCATAACGCTATTAAAAAAGGCAGTAACTATAGTTACACCAGTTTTAAAGCAATTCCTAATTATAATTAGTTGTTATTGTCCTATTCCAATCCATGAAACAACCCTTTTAAAGAAACACTTGTATTTAATATTTTGAACTTCATATAAAATTATTGAATATTTTAGCGTCACCTTGTCTTCCAAATCCATGTGCTAATGGCGGAACGTGTAGTACCGATACATCAAACCCTGATCCGTGCAACTACTCTTGTGATTGCCCATCATGCTATACAGGCACTACCTGCAGTACCCGTAAGTAATTAACACCCCCAAACACAGAAACAGCAATGTACTCTTCAAATACGTATGGAAATTAAAAGACAGCAACACACCCTACAATATCAAATGGTCTATTATCGACAGAGCATCGGCTTACTCCCCAAAAACTAAACGCTGCAACCTATGTATAACCGAAAAAATTCACATAATACATTCGGACAAACAGTCATAACAAAAGAACCGAGCTATTGTCTAAATGCAGACACAACAACAAATACTTACTTAAAAACAATTAACTCATTTGCATTTTCACCTGCCTTAGCATTCAAATACTCACACAATCCTTGTATTCTCTCACTC